TAGTCGAATAGTCGAATAGTCGAATAGTCGAATAGTCGAATAGTCGAATAGTCGAATAGTCGAATAGTCGAATAGTCGAATAGTCGAATAGTCGAATAGTCGAATAGTCGAATAGTCGAATAGTCGAATAGTCGAATAGTCGAATAGTCGAATAGTCGAATAGTCGAATAGTCGAATAGTCGAATAGTCGAATAGTCGAATAGTCGAATAGTCGAATAGTCGAATAGTCGAATAGTCGAATAGTCGAATAGTCGAATAGTCGAATAGTCGAATAGTCGAATAGTCGAATAGTCGAATAGTCGAATAGTCGAATAGTCGAATAGTCGAATAGTCGAATAGTCGAATAGTCGAATAGTCGAATAGTCGAATAGTCGAATAGTCGAATAGTCGAATAGTCGAATAGTCGAATAGTCGAATAGTCGAATAGTCGAATAGTCGAATAGTCGAATAGTCGAATAGTCGAATAGTCGAATAGTCGAATAGTCGAATAGTCGAATAGTCGAATAGTCGAATAGTCGAATAGTCGAATAGTCGAATAGTCGAATAGTCGAATAGTCGAATAGTCGAATAGTCGAATAGTCGAATAGTCGAATAGTCGAATAGTCGAATAGTCGAATAGTCGAATAGTCGAATAGTCGAATAGTCGAATAGTCGAATAGTCGAATAGTCGAATAGTCGAATAGTCGAATAGTCGAATAGTCGAATAGTCGAATAGTCGAATAGTCGAATAGTCGAATAGTCGAATAGTCGAATAGTCGAATAGTCGAATAGTCGAATAGTCGAATAGTCGAATAGTCGAATAGTCGAATAGTCGAATAGTCGAATAGTCGAATAGTCGAATAGTCGAATAGTCGAATAGTCGAATAGTCGAATAGTCGAATAGTCGAATAGTCGAATAGTCGAATAGTCGAATAGTCGAATAGTCGAATAGTCGAATAGTCGAATAGTCGAATAGTCGAATAGTCGAATAGTCGAATAGTCGAATAGTCGAATAGTCGAATAGTCGAATAGTCGAATAGTCGAATAGTCGAATAGTCGAATAGTCGAATAGTCGAATAGTCGAATAGTCGAATAGTCGAATAGTCGAATAGTCGAATAGTCGAATAGTCGAATAGTCGAATAGTCGAATAGTCGAATAGTCGAATAGTCGAATAGTCGAATAGTCGAATAGTCGAATAGTCGAATAGTCGAATAGTCGAATAGTCGAATAGTCGAATAGTCGAATAGTCGAATAGTCGAATAGTCGAATAGTCGAATAGTCGAATAGTCGAATAGTCGAATAGTCGAATAGTCGAATAGTCGAATAGTCGAATAGTCGAATAGTCGAATAGTCGAATAGTCGAATAGTCGAATAGTCGAATAGTCGAATAGTCGAATAGTCGAATAGTCGAATAGTCGAATAGTCGAATAGTCGAATAGTCGAATAGTCGAATAGTCGAATAGTCGAATAGTCGAATAGTCGAATAGTCGAATAGTCGAATAGTCGAATAGTCGAATAGTCGAATAGTCGAATAGTCGAATAGTCGAATAGTCGAATAGTCGAATAGTCGAATAGTCGAATAGTCGAATAGTCGAATAGTCGAATAGTCGAATAGTCGAATAGTCGAATAGTCGAATAGTCGAATAGTCGAATAGTCGAATAGTCGAATAGTCGAATAGTCGAATAGTCGAATAGTCGAATAGTCGAATAGTCGAATAGTCGAATAGTCGAATAGTCGAATAGTCGAATAGTCGAATAGTCGAATAGTCGAATAGTCGAATAGTCGAATAGTCGAATAGTCGAATAGTCGAATAGTCGAATAGGTTAAATGGTTAAATGGTTAAATGGTTAAATGGTTAAATGGTTAAATGGTTAAATGGTTAAATGGTTAAATGGTTAAATGGTTAAATGGTTAAATGGTTAAATGGTTAAATGGTTAAATGGTTAAATGGTTAAATGGTTAAATGGTTAAATGGTTAAATGGTTAAATGGTTAAATGGTTAAATGGTTAAATGGTTAAATGGTTAAATGGTTAAATGGTTAAATGGTTAAATGGTTAAATGGTTAAATGGTTAAATGGTTAAATGGTTAAATGGTTAAATGGTTAAATGGTTAAATGGTTTAAATGGTTAAATGGTTAAATGGTTTAAATGGTTAAATGGTTAAATGGTTAAATGGTTAAATGGTTAAATGGTTAAATGGTTAAATGGTTAAATGGTTAAATGGTTAAATGGTTAAATGGTTAAATGGTTAAATGGTTAAATGGTTAAATGGTTAAATGGTTAAATGGTTAAATGGTTAAATGGTTAAATGGTTAAATGGTTAAATGGTTAAATGGTTAAATGGTTAAATGGTTAAATGGTTAAATGGTTAAATGGTTAAATGGTTAAATGGTTAAATGGTTAAATGGTTAAATGGTTAAATGGTTAAATGGTTAAATGGTTAAATGGTTAAATGGTTAAATGGTTAAATGGTTAAATGGTTTAAATGGTTAAATGGTTAAATGGTTAAATGGTTAAATGGTTAAATGGTTAAATGGTTAAATGGTTAAATGGTTAAATGGTTAAATGGTTAAATGGTTAAATGGTTAAATGGTTAAATGGTTAAATGGGTAAATGGTTAAATGGTTAAATGGTAGTCAGCTAAGAGACTATTAGGCAAGAATTTATAAAGTTTTTGTATCAATTATATCCAATTAGCATTACTTAGAACAAGAGAATCAAACAGTGAATCTTTAATTTTTATCGTTTAAATGTTGTTTGGCTCATAAAAATATTTTTGTAAAATACTTGTATGAAATATGATCAGAGTAATTTAGTTTATTGTCAAATATCATGCCAAGATTTATTGCTTTTTCTGTCATGGGTAAAGAAACATTATATATACAGAAATGTTTAAAAAACATGGCAGATGATTTAATCGTGTTGTATACAATTGTTAGCATACATGAGCACTTTGAAATTCTCCAATATTGCTGTAAAATTGCTAGTACAAATTGTATAAAAGAGGAGGCCCAAAATGGAACCTTGGGCCAGTCAACGTGATATTTTGCCAATTTCAGACCATTCGCCGTTATTACTCTTTATGTTCTATCAGTCAAATAAATTGTTGACAAAGCTGATGACACACACACACACACACACACACACACACACACACACACACACACACACACACACACACACACACACACACACACACACACACACACACACACACACACACACACACACACACACACACACACACACACACACACACACACACACACACACACACACACACACACACACACACACACACACACACACACACACACACACACACACACACACACACACACACACACACACACACACACACACACACACACACACACACACACACACACACACACACACACACACACACACACACACACACACACACACACACACACACACACACACACACACACACACACACACACACACACACACACACACACACACACACACACACACACACACACACACACACACACACACACACACACACACACACACACACACACACACACACACACACACACACACACACACACACACACACACACACACACACACACACCACACACACACCACACACACACACACACACACACACCACACACACACACACACACACACACACACACACACACACACACACACACACACACACACACACACACACACACACACACACACACACACACACACACACACACACACACACACACACACACCACACACACACACACACACACACACACACACACACACACACACACACACACCACACACACACACACACACACACACACACACACACACACACACACACACACACACACACACACACACACACACACACACACACACACACACACACACACACACACACACACACACACACACACACACACACACACACACACACACACACACACACACACACACACACACACACACACACACACACACACACACACACACACACACACACACACAACACACACACACACACACACACACACACACACACACACACACACACACACACACACACACACACACACACACACACACCACACACACACACACACACACACACACACACACACACACACACACACACACACACACACACACACACACACACACACACACACACACACACACACACACACACACACACACACACACACACACACACACACACACACACACACACACACACACACACACACACACCACACACACACACACACACACACACACACACACACACACACACACACACACACACACACACACACACACACACACACACACACACACACACACACACACACACACACACACCACACACACACACACACACACACACACACACACACACACACACACACACACACACACACACACACACACTGAATATCTTGCAACCGTAAAGTTATGTTAACAGCATTGATTTGATTAGAAATGCGAAGAAATGCTGTCCCGATCAGTATTTTTAGCATGGGTTTCATTAATTTTTAATATTTATTGTAACTTCTAAAATAGTTTTTATATTTCTTTTTTTTTAAATTTGTGACCTTCAAATCATTTTATATTTACAATAATACTTATGCCGAAAACACTGATAAAAAAAATTTGCATTAGCTTTTATTTCCAAATAATTTTCTAAAATCTTTGATTCTAGTACAAAAAAAATTAATGATTAGTTCACTTTTTACCTAACGTAATTTTATAAATAATTTAGTAAAAATTATAAAAAATCTTGTATACATATTCATTATAAATAAAAATAATTATCTTTCTCTAACCAGCTACGAAAAGTAGACCATTTTAATATTTTGTGCCATTATAAAATATGTCACTTGCATATGACAAAGTTATAAAAATACATTTATATTACAGTTAACCGGGTTATAATTACATACCGTCCCACAGACCATTTTTACAAGTTTTATTCACTTTAAGTTGTTTATTTTTAGGAATACCTCGGACGTGATGGACCAGGAGCCAAATGGCTCTGACGGAAGAAATACTACTGTTGCTTCAAATGCACATCCTCTACCAACTCTGGATCCATATTACCAAACATATGATGTCATGACCGGAATACGAATAGCTGCCACACTTGGCAGTTTTTTTGGCCTAATGGCTCTCCTCATGCTATACAAATCAAAATCAAAGACTGAGAAGGCCATGGAAGATCCAGATTTTACAGCTGCAGCCATTGCGGAGGTTTGTTTTTTAATACTAACGACGCTAACGATAAAAACGAGATAAGAAATAATTAATTATAAAAAAAACAGGTTTATAGTTAATATCAGCGACTGGGGACACTATCTATATCTGTCAAAATAATGGATGGATTTTGTTAAGAACAGAAAACAGGTTATGATCTTTCCATCTAAAATTTTTGACAGTTCCATATTACTCTTATTTTAAATGAAACACCCCTATTTTGATTACGGATTTTCATAGAATAATATATTTTAGAGTCATTTTATACAATAAAGTTATAGCTAAATCTATAATTTAAAGCAATATCAGAGATTAGGAACATAAAGATAGGAAACGCAACGACCGCAACAAAGATGACGTCATCTATGCGTCTCAGATATTAACTAATGGTACACGTCGTTTGTAGATAGACAGTAGACATGGACAGCAGTGGACAGTTTGTAAATATAAATGTTAATTGTATGTATATCGTAGAATCCTGAATTTGAATTTTAAATTTTGAGTTCATGATTGTAATATCCTCTAAGATGAACTAAGCGGAATGTTTGTGGTTGTTTATGTGTGGAATTTTAGGGCAATATTTATATTTTATATTACAATAAGTCAAAGCACGAATTGTATTAGTAACACATGTCACATGATAAATTTAACAACCCTAATATGACGTTCTTTAATTGACCAAAGTAAGATCAAGCTATGTAACACATTTAACACAAACAGTAATCAATTTTTGTCACAAAGTATGTATTTATTAACTATTATTTATTGTTTTAAAGCAAGAAAATTGCTGGGTCAACTTTCGTTTAGCCGAAATCAGTTACGTAAAAATTGTTGTCATGGTATTCGTTGCCATGGTAACCAGTAAACAAAAACCCAAATCCGGTAGTGAGGAAATGCATAGTTGCCAAGTCATAGATTATTTAATGTTCACTTTAGTTTAGACGAAATCAGTTATGGTAAAACTATTGCCATGGGAAAGCTTGACATAGTAATGACTGAACAAAAAGCCAAATCCCATGGTAAGGAAATGCGTGGTTGCCAAGTTACAGATGATTTAATTTAGCTGTAATCAGTTACGGAGAAACTCTTGCCATAGAGACACTTGTCATGGTAACGACTGTTCCAAAATAAAGAATTTTGAAACATACAGAAAACGGTCCTGTGCTCACAAAAGCCAGGTGTTAATTTATAATGGCCATTTGCAGGCGGACGTGACAAAAGCCATGTATCCCATGTACCTCGCGCGAAGAACTGGTCAAAGTGACGTAATCATATGTCCATCTCTTTCATAAAAAAATAAAAAGCCGACAGAGCGATTCGAGCTTCCTAACATTAAGGATCGTCTTTCCCATATACATAATGAAAAATTCTTTGAGCAACGATGTTGTAAAGTCCTAGTACTTATATAAGCTGTACTTAGTAGTAAAAAACTAATATAAATATGTACAACGTTTACGTGCAGCGTTTTGTGCACAATAAAGTGTTCTTTTACGAAATTGTTGAGCTTTTATTCCATATGGAGATGTTGCAGCCAGCGGCTTCAGGAGACAGTCCATTTTGGTAAGCGTGCCTTAGGGCCGTATTTAATATTTATGGGGATTCAACTCATGGAAATCCTTCAACGACTAAACAAAAACCCAAATTCTGTGGTAAGAAAATGCATAGTTGGCAAGTTACAGGTCATTTAATTTTTACTTTAGTTTAGCTGAAATCGGTTATGGAGATGTCGTGATGTCGACTAAACAAAAACCTAAATCTAGTGGTGAGGAAATGCGTAGTTGCCCCTTATATTTAGATTAACTCTTAACACAATATTCTAATCTAAACTAAAGTGAAAATGAAACCATCTATAACTTGGAAACTATGCATTTTCTCACTACGGGATTTGTTTAGTCATTAGCATGACAAACGTTTCCATGGCAACGGTTTCTCTATAAGATCACGCTACGCTCCTCTCACCCACTTCTTATCTACTACAGAGGACAGCGAGGGAAGCGAGCGCGCCCGGCCGGCGTTTTGAAATTCGCGCGCGCGAATTTCGATACGACGGCTGGTCGCGCTCTTTTTCCACCTACATCATAAGATCACGCTACGCTCGTTCCACCCACCTACTAATTACTACTTGGCAACTGCGCATTTCCTCACCACGAGATTTGGTTTTTTGTTTAGTCGTTAGCATAATAAGCGTTTCCATGGCAACAGTTTTTTCATAACTGATTTTGGCTAAACTAAAGTGGACATTAAATAATCTATAACTTGGCAACTACGCATTTCCTCACTGCCGGATTTGGATTTTTGTTTAGTCCTTAGCATGACAAGCGTTTCCATGAAAACAGTTTTTCCGTAACTGATTTCGGCTAAACTAAAGTGAACATTAAATGATCTATAACTTGGCAACTACGCATGTCCCCACCACGAGATTTGGGTTTTTTTTTAGTCGGTAACATGACAAGCGTGCCCATGGCAACATTTTTTGCATAACTTATTTCAGTTAAATGGAATTAAACAAAAAACTGTAATCATCTACAACTTGGCAACTACGCATTTCCTCACCATAAGATTAGGGTTTTTGTTTACTCATAGCCATTAAAATTGTTATTATGACAACAGTTTTTACATAACAGATTTCGGCTAAACGAAAGTTGAGCCAAATTGCTTCGAAGCGTTAGAGAGAAGATTTGGTATAGAATAGTATATTATGCAACGATCATGTAATGATGGTTATTAATACACGAGCATTAACCGGGATACGAAACGAGCCAAAGGCGAGTTTCGTATGGTTTATGCGAGTGTTTTAATAACCATTACATGAGAGTTGCATACGCTATTTTTTCTACACCCGATAAATAATCAAGACCTATAAATATTCTATTTATATTGGCATTGAACACAATAACAGTAATTACTCGTATTTCTATAAAAAATTCTACAAAATTGTAATTAATGGTATTACCTTGGGTATTGGTATTACCACAGATTTTTGGGGCAAAATATTTTGTACTGCATTTTCTCCTTTCTCCGATATGTGTGGAGGAGTCTTCTATATCGCTGATATCAGACATTTTAATATTATAATCCGAGAATAACGATCATGGAGAAGCGACAGCTTGGTGTTTTCAGTGTACCGTTTTGATACGCGCATGTGCGAAACTAAGTTGTGTATCACTCAAAATCATATAATCTGTCAAAGTCAGTCCAAGTTGTGTTTAGTCTGTGAGCTGTTGAGTGATATTTTTTGGTGTTTCTTTATGTTGTAATAGAATGTCTGGATCTGGATATTTTTGTGCATACCGTTCTTGTTCGTCCAAAACAGGCCAAGGATTACGTTTATTTACTTTTCCAAAGGACTACGAACAGTAAATATTATGATTATTAATTGCTATTAACCCTAACTACTTCAATGTAATTAAATCACATTACAACATTTGCGCATAGACTATAGCAATGATTTCAGATAATTTGCCAAACTATTTCGCTCAGTGTAGAAAATAAGCATGTTTTCTCAGCGTGCTAAGTTGTGTATCAATCAAAGTCATGCTGTGAAAAAGGTCCATCCGATATCAAAGGCACCGACAGCTACTGTCGCTTCTCCTTGATCGGTATTCTCGGATTATAATTATCGAAGTTTAGCTATCTACGAAAATTTAATACGTTTTGACAACTAAAACAATTACATAGGAATTTAGGACAAACGTCAAACATCATGCTTGATTGAAAAATTGTAGGTTTCTATTGATTAAAAATCTGTATCATAATGAAAAATCTGTATCATAATGGGTATCATTATGAAACGGATTTTGGGCATATAAGTGCATTATTATAATACGGGTGTAGAAAAAGAAAAATATCTGAATTACCATCATTGAGTTTGAAATCAACATTTTTATAAATGAGAAACCGTTGGCCATTCGTTTTGAAAATCAAAACAAAAATGCCAAAGTTACAATCAAAACTTAAAAAATATTTTTCATGTGTACATTTACAATAATTAATAGATAATAGACTAAGGCCCAGTACGTTGTGAGCTGATTAAGGTAATTTAACAGAAAATCAAATTTTAACACAGAATTTCGGTACTTTACGTAATGGTTATACCTTAATCATGATTAAATGTGGGCGTGCCTCTGTTATATTTAACATCATCTTTTTTCATCAATTAAAACTTTAATCAGAATTATTGACTCTGTACTTATAATTCCATGGTTTAGAATTCTGAATCATCTTGTTTCAAACGTAAATGTGTCTTTCGATATTGGACACTGACATTCAACATGACATTTTAAACATTTTAAATTCGTTTTATTTTTTCTGGGTCAGTTTAATTTGAGCTAAATATTATAAAAGAATTTAGTGTAATTATAACGAGAAAATAGAAGAAAGGACGAAAAAAGGAAAGAGGCAGCAATTTCAACCAAAATAAAACATTTTTATGAAATTCCTTTTATGCGAAATAAACATAATTGAAGGAAAAGCAACTGGCGTAGTAAGCCAAAGGGATAAAAAAGATGCGTGAGGAAGAATTACAAGCAGTTTTAATAGGGTATCAGACAACTATAGAGATATCAATTCACTGAAAATAAAATATGATAATATTAAAAGAACATTAAAATTGAAAATGACTTAATCAAATAACAATTGTAATGGAACTGGTGGTGAGAACCTGATAAAATTGCTCTGGTATGAAGAGCAGTTATATGCTCATTTGAAATTATGCATTTCGGGATTACCGTCTATGAAAGATTTAGATGTGAAAAATCCAACCATTTAATTTTTTATTTTTAGTGAAAAAACATGTATGTGTAGGAAAAGGTTAAAACAGTTCATTTGGAGCCAGTTTTTCAAAATTTTGTTTTTTCTTTTAATAATTTTCAGATAATCTCCTAAAAATGGAAATTTTGCATTTTTTTAATGTTTTACTTTACATTATTAGTTAATAACACATGTTTGTGTTTAACACGTTATTGTACAAATAAAACTATTTAACAAAATATTGTGCATTTATTTTTACAACCAAAAATACATAAGGTAGTGGCATCAATAGCTGACAGTGTTCCTATACCTGACACATCTTTTAAATATCAAAAATAAGTACCATCAATTCATAATATCATATTATTTTGTGCCAATCTATAACTGTGCCCTCTGCATTATTTACATAGGCGGTGTTCGATTGAGTAAGTTAAGATTGCTTGACTATGACTAGACAGAATCTGCGCCTAGTCACAGGCATTCTGACTAGTCATTGCCAAGTACGGAAGCATCTCCATTTCATGGTTGTGTCAGAATCCGCACTCTGCAGAGGGTGCGAACAAGAAGATGAGACCATCGAGCATATCCTTCTGTTTTTTCTTCTTCTGTCTGTGGCATAATGTACATAACGTTCTCGTAAAATTACTAATGCTGTAACTTTCTGGGTTATCCGTCCTGTTGTTGTTTTATGTATCCCTGCAAAATTACCTTGGACATTATAAAAACTTCCTGTAGCGTAGAATCTAAGGGTTAACAGAAGTTGTTTGAGGGGATCTACCTCATGGTACCTATAAGAAAGTAAATCGTAAAAATCATTATAATTGTAACATAAAAAATTCAAAAAATTATGTACTCACATCAATCTGTCCCTATCAAGGATTTCAATTATTTCGTTTAGAATAAGACGAACTGATTCTTTTGAAAATCGAAACCTGAAAAATTCGGCATCATTCCATTTATTCATGTGGTCTACACGTTCATCAACGATATAGGTTCGTTAATTACGAACATAATCAATAATTTCACCATAATCATCAAAAATATCGTCTATCTCATGCAAATTCATTTTAATACCGTTAACTCAGTTAATTAAAGCAGTAAAAATCTTAACAATACCACAACAATTTCTTAAGCAGACTTGATTTAACTGACATGTGTATTTAAGCTTCGACACAATGCGTAAAACTTTTTCTTTCTAATACATTACAAATATCCCACAACGTATGTTCATAATTTTTTCTCAAATTTGAGCAATGAAAAATAATAAATAAAAAGAAGAAGAGATAGTGGTAGCACTACTGAAAACTTAAATCAAATATTGATTAACTAATCTTTGTTAAATTCACTCATAAAGTACCCATTCACTACTTTTCTGTCAATTTGATTATGATTAGTTTAACAACGTGATTAATTAATCAAAAATTTAACGAGAGCACAAAGTACCGGGCCTAAGTGTAGTATTCTTTTTAATAAATAATTTAACGTAATTGGCATTGTTTAAATTTATTTACCAGAACATAAGAGTGAAATCGATATTTCTACAACCTTTATTGGGGTCTATTCTGTAAAAATTTCTTTATATTTAACGGCCTTTAAAAATATTTTCTTCTTTAATTCGGTCACTATTTAAACGGATCTTTAAAACACATTAGAGGACTATCTTAAAGAAATCTGTTTAAATAAAGATAGAAGTAAATTAACGAATACGAACATATTTTTATAGGCCGTCAATATTTTTAAAGGCCGTTAAATATAAAGGAATTGTTACAGAATAGACCCCATTATCAGGTTTTTTAAATTTCCGGCTGCGTTATTTGTTTGATATCGATGAAAGCGCCACATAGTGAAACATATGTTAACTGCGTTCAAGCTGGTCGTTATTAAGCATATGCTGCCTGTGAGCGTTTCCTATTTTTATGTCCCTTATCTCTGATTATTATATTTGTATCGCCTATGTTTTTTGTTTACTTACCTTTGAAATAACGTGGAACTTTTCCAGTCCAAAAGAATGTTTTAGGGCACACAAAACATTGACTACTAATTTTTAGACTTACAACTAATAAAATTCGTTAAAAAATATACCAGAAAATCTAAAACATTTAAAAATATGCCCTGGGAATATAAAATCACAAGAAATTTACAAATAAAACTGATAATTCTAAAGTGCTTGTTGACATTTTTGATTAAACTTTGCCGTTTCTATTTAAAATATACAAATCACATAAAAGACTACGAGGAAGCAAAAGTAATAAAAACTAAGGTAGGCACTCGCTTCAAATGAATCCAGACAAATACAGAAATATAAAAGTGGCGAGCATATTTGTGCCATGTACATGCTAAAATCGATGAAGTTTTTAATAGATATTCTCTTCCTTTAAATACATTTTTCTTCTCTAATTGGTAAATAACCAGGTACTAAAAAACTATATTTGTTTACATCAGGTATTAAAAGTTGAAGAGGAAGTAGAGCGAAAATTGCAAAAGGCATTAGAGGCAACAGTACAACATCAATTAAATCCCAGAAGGATAAGACGATCTTTGGATACATCAAGTATGTCTCCCAATTGGAATAGAAATACGTCACGGTTTTCATCTGTTGTCGGATACGCTGATATTATAGATCCTTCGAATAGATCCCAACATAAACTTCCAACATTTACAGATGATGAAACTGAGGAAGTCGGTTCCTTGTACGATGACATTTATTATAATGAGTAAGTAAATATTTCACCTTCACTGAATATAATTTTTAAATTAAATTTCCATCACGAATTAAGATTCAACTGCGCTCGTAGGAAAAGTATAAAGTGTTAAATTTTTGAACAAACTACTATTGCTCACAGTTGCGAAGTTAAAATAATCTAGTTATATGTTATTGGAATTGACAGCTTTAGTATCCCAACAAACATTTTGCGACACTTACAGCCGTATGCATAGTCGATCGCAAGCGACTCGCCAGAGATTCATTTCGGCGTATCCCAGCGATTCGCTGGCGATCCGCCGGCGAAAGCCCAAAAAGTTGGCGACTCGCCGGAGATTGTCACCGGAATGTCATTTCACGCAAGTTTTCATTTTATTTTATAGGGATTATCACCGGTATCTCTCGCATTTTATTCATGATTCATTTCTTAAAACTCAAAAAATAATGAACGAATATCAAATTATTCCCTATAAAAGAACATGAAAACTTGCGTGAAATGACATTCCGGTGACAATCTCCGGCGAGTCGCCAGCTTTTTTGGCTTTCGCCGGCGGATCGCCAGCGAATCGCTGGCGATACGCCGAAATGAATCTCTGGCGAGTCGCTGGCGATCGACTATGCATACGGCTGTTAAAGGTTTTTTAAGAGGTAAATGATATTTATAAGGAACTTTAAGTTTTATTGTGGTTTTTCTAGTTTTACAACAAAACCGAAGTGTTTGTTGTAAAGCACCTAATAAATACCAAAATATTTTAAATTTTATAATATATAAATATATATATATATATATATATATATATATATATATATATATATATATATATATATATATATATATATAAATCCTTTAGTGTTGAATATTTAAAGTTTTCTATGATGGTTTTAAAGCATTTTTGGAAAAATCATCAAACAGCGTTTACTCTATGGGTTTTATAGCTTAGGTACCCACGCCATTAATGTAATATCAATAAGGCATTCCAAACTGAATGACTACCAGTGGGTTTTGACAGGTTATGATGTGGCAAAGTTATGGCAACTCTGTAGGCCTGGTGATTTGACAAGGTGAGTGAAATAGATAGTTACATAGATTGATCATCCCTATTTTTTAAAATAAACATTAGCTTATGACTTGAAGTAAAAATATAAGCAATTATTATTTTTTAAATATCTAAAGTCTGAAAATTGGTTTTAAAAACACATTTTTGCTAAACTGATTCAATTTAATAAATATTTGCCAGGCAATATGGCTGCTCGCAAACGACCAGCTTCGAGCAATGTATATAACATATATGTATCATTGACCCTGTTAATGACAACATGACAACAGTGTTGCCATATCTAAACTGTCAGTACCCACTGGTAGCCATTTGGACAGGTCGTTGGAATGCCTAATAATGTAATTTTCCATGGCTGATGACTGACAATTGACAATACTGAAAACTCTAGTAGAAACAAAATTATGTTACAAGTTTACTACACGACTCCAAATAGAAAATAATGTAAGCAAATAAAATAGAAAGGGATAAAACGAAAACCAACGGAGGACGCTATATTTTTCATGTCACACACAATTTTTCTTTATAATAGAATTTATTAAGAATATTTAAGTTTTTTAATGGTAACAAAAACGTGTACGTTACCGTTATAAAATCTATATTTGATTTGTAAAGGTAACGGCAACTTTTCAAACATTCAACTGGGGAGTGGAAGTTTTATTTGGGACTGAAAATTGGTCACTGTTTCTATTAGAATATTCTCTAATTAGGTGCCGTAGGGGTTTTATAGGAGTATCGGTTACGTTTCGGGAATAATTTATAAGTTCTTAGGTTTCATAGAAACGGTAACAGAAACGTAACAATTAAAATGTTAGTTGGGGAATTATCTACATAAATGTGGAATTTCCGATATCTATATTTCAAATTCTAAGATGTTTTAAAATGCTCACAAAATAGCTGTCTATCCCTCAATACAAAAATTGTTTAAATACGACCACCGGCTTGTATTTAAACACGATTTATATAACAAGAGACCTGTTGGACAACTAGATATCGATAAAATTAACCAGTTGAAACTGTGTTTTTAAATTCAAGTAACATAATTTATAAACTCAAAACATTCAACCGTACGATTAATTGCAAAGTAATTAAAACATATGGCACTATCTTTTATCTCTATTTTAACTGAATGTTATTCACTCACACACATTGCAAACAATAATTTTAAACAATTCATTTCAAAAGACTGAGACACACCGTCGCGAAGTGAACTTTATGTTCTAGTTTCTCACACAAACAAATCTATCGTTAGACAGAAAAATTAAGTTGTAATTTTTAATGAAACAAAATATTGAATAAATATGTTTATGTTCTGAATCAGCATCATTTCCATCTTCATTGGCCTTCTATGGGAAAAAGAAAGTTCTCGTACGAGATCAAGTCTACAAAAATATTACTAAATATGGTTTATTCTGAATCTCAAATATACGAGATGATATCAACAATTAGTGCAGGGCATAGTGGCGCATTCGTTTGCAAAATTGTTTTAATTCGTGATTTTTTTTTAAATGTCCGGAAGGCTTGCCTTATTATAAAAGTGTAAGATGACACTCGATATTTGTTGATGTTATTGTTTAAACAACGAAAAATTAATTAAGGCAAAAAAATGCATTTTTTTCAATGAATTAATTTTTTTTATATTCTTTAGGATATTTCGAATAAAAAAAGTCCTTACGCCCATTATCGTATCTTCAACCCTATAATTGTTATGAATTTTTTTAAATCCAAAATTGACGAAAATTCTAATTTTCTTGAATTAAATAATATACCTTAAAATTTAAAATGCTATAATTTTAAATTTTTTTACCGAATATTCAAACTATAATAAACAAAATAACCTAAATAAATTTTCAAAATTTTGTTTGTTGTTATGTTTTTTTTACGTTATAACAATATGCTTCCTACGCGCGTGTACTTTGCGTGCACTTCCAACTCAGGCCCGTATTTATAAACAAAACTCAGCTGAGTCGGACTTGGGTAAGTCGTCCTTGAACGAAAATCGAAGTTCGGTTATATCGCGTGAATTTAGAGATGGGTAGTAACAAATCCGTAAATGTACATAACAGTTACAGATTTGCTAATATCCATCTCTAAATTCCAGTTTAACACCAGAACTACCTGGAACTTTAAAGACGTTGTAACCGAACTTCGATTTTAGTTCAAGGACGACTTACCCAAGTCCGACTCACGTAAGTTCTGTTTATAAATACGGGCCTTAATGTATAAGATAGGTAAGAGAAAGCCCGATGACGCGCTGAATCAATTTTTTGCTGTTTTGCAATATTATAAACATTTTTCATAACACTTTGTTATATTTGCCGATTAATAGTTTTGTATCATGTGATTTTTTTTTTACTTTTTTAGATACTTTTGATAACTTTTTTATTTATTAAAGTTAACAGAAACATTTATTTTTAACATTTATTTTTATTCATGAAAAAATTATTGTCAGATATTGCCTGAGAAGTAAAATCTTCTTCAACCTTTTTTTTTTCTCAATACGATAAAAATGCCAAATGCACTGAATCCGTGAAAAATTTCTACCTGTTACAATGAACATAGTAGGCTTACTGGGCTTATAAAATTTTATGATTTCAAAAATATCCAAGCCTTTCTCCATTTAACAAAAATAAGGAAAACAATTTTTTTTCTAATATTCAGAGTAAGTACTATAAATATGAATTTTTTTTATGATTTTCAATCTTTTGCACTATGAATACAAATAGGTAAAGGGACTTATTTCGTATTTTGAAAAAATTGTACGTTTAACTCTTCTTCTATTTTTTTCCTGTCATAAACAATTTTTACAACCTTCCAAATAGAAAATTCAACCCTACCTTAGAATTTTTGGCTCGTTTTGAAAATTATTTTTCAGTTGTTAATCAGTCTTGCTCGATTCTACATCTACTGGTTTACTTTGCAGTCCTGTAATTTTTTGAATAATAATGTCGTTATCTTTAATTTCAAAAAAAATTATATTATCTGACGACAAAAAGTGTTTATTTTGTGATCATGGCGAGGCGTTAGTGAAGTGTCCGAAACCTGTTACATATTTAAAATTAAAAAATGCAACTCTTCGTCGAAACGATAACGTGACTGTGTGATTTCATTTGTTGTTTAATGAAAATACTAGTGAACAATCTTTTTCGTGGCATCGTGGAGCGTAGGAAGCATATTGTTATAACGTAAAAAAAACATAACAACAAACAAAATTTTGAAAATTTATTTAGGTAATTTTGTTTAATATAGTTTGAATATTCGGTAAAAAATTTAAAATTATAGCATTTTAAATTTTAAGGTATAATATTTAATTCAAGAAAAAGAATTTTCGTCAATTTTGGATTTTAAAAAATTCATAACAATTAAAGGGTTGAAGATACGATGATGGGCGTGAGGATTTTTTGATTCGAAATATCCTAAAGAATATAAAAAAATTAATTCATTGCAAAAAATGCATTTTTTCTGGCTTAATTAATTGTTCGTTGTTTAAACAATAACATCAACAAATATCGAGTGTCATCTTACACTTTTATAATTAGGCAAGCCTTCCGGATATTTAAAAAAAAAAATACGAATTAAAACAATTTTGCAAACGAATGCGCCAGTATGCTCTGGTCTAAATGTATTATTAATAAGGATCCCATCTCAGCTCCAAATTTTGTAGCTTATACATTTAAGTTTAACACATTAGTCATCCTTTTTTCCACAATAATATTTGGACACAATCAATGCCAAACTATTAAAATTTTATACAGTTTTGATATTTCGTTGGTATGGCTTCTAAGGGTGGAAGAAGTAGTGTCGCTTTTTTAATGGCATCTCATGTCCATATTACTCAACCTCATTGATCAATATCAAGCTTAATGAAAATATTTAAAGCTTAACCTAAAATGAAAACTAAAACTTGAAAATTTAATTAATGGAACTAGAACAGAAATAAAAGTTGGAAATGCTTTTGCCAGTTCTCCCACTTTAGACACATAAATTGACAGGTTAGCAGCGGATCTTACCGAAGTGGACGCGATACATTGGCGTACAAAATTATTTTATAGATGTTAATAACAATGTCGAGTAAATAGTTTAATAAATTGTGAATAGCTGTTGAAATTTTGTAAAATTATGATTTGAATATTATAATACATGTTTAATAATTATTTATAATCCATAAATACATGCGATTGTCCGGTTCCGCCGATAAAAATTTAAAATTACTTATTCTATGAAACGACACTGGCAGGTAAACATTACTTGCGAAATGTGTTATTATTTTAATAAGTAAAAAGTTGTAGAAAAATAAACGTAATCCTATAATATTGGGGTTAAGTAAAATGAAGGTTAAACGTTAAAATTTTAAAATATTCTTAAATACATGAAGGCTATTTGTTATGTTCCAAAGCAGTCCAAGCTTTAAATTTCGACTTTTCATAATGAATATTGTTTGTACTTTTCGAAATCGTTTAGTTTCTGTGCACTTATTTGCACTTTTCTTCACTATTTGTGTTTTTTTCAAAGTATATAAATATATGGCGGGACGATCGTCCAAAACACGAATTCTGTCTTTTTTAATATATTTCGTTTATTAATGAATCAATTTTATTGTCCTTAGGCTCATTTTATAGGCAACTAAATATGCTTCCAGACAGACATAACAAAATGCCAGAAATGTAAAATTTAAGATGGCGCCGACCTAATTGAAGAAAAAAAACGAGCCTAAAAGTAACCCATTTTAAGCTCGTTTTGCGTAATAATTATAAATTAAATATAAAATCTAATAACAAAAGTTAAATATCTAACCTATTTTCTTTATTTTAAGACCTCTCCGAGCACGATTGGTGCATTCAATCGTAAGATATAGACAATCAAAGTTGTTTAGTTTTTATGTTTTCATAGAAGCTTATAATAACACATCATTATGCTTTGCAACGTTGCTATTTTAGTTTTTGACCGATTTGGACTCAATGTGTCTGATTTCGTAGGTATGTAAATATACTTTCCGACCATTAAATGAAAATGGCGGAAATTTTAAATTCCAGGATAGCGAACCTAATTGAAATATGAGTCGATTTAGAGCTAGTTTATTTTTGGTAGATCTGGGCATAGTTAGTTATCTATAACATGGAGCCTAAGAACAGTAAAATCGGTTTATTATTTAAAAAATGAAAATAAAAACAAAACACAGTTTTTTATAGCCCACCCGGTAAAAATAAAACATAACAGTGTTTCGCACAAGTTAAGTTATTTTAGTATTAAAACTTATTTTTAAAAACAAAACTTTATTTTTATTGTACAACGGAATAGTGGTTTACTCGACAGAGGTTAAAGCAAGAATGAATCTAATGTTAACAAGAATTATCTACATGAAATATGATATCTGTACAACGTCACTATTATTTATGTGATATGGCAAAATGTCTTTATATAACTCACATAACAATTTAATTTATTTTTTATTTTATTTCTGGAACGAGGTTGAACACTATGTTTTTATCGAAAAAGAAACTTCTTGATATCATGAGAAGTTCTGGAAAAAATGAAATTAATAGAATTTGCTCACAACACCGCTAGATACTTTTTTGAAAAGTACCCACGGTCAATATGCCTCCGACATTGCACAAATACTTTATACATGAACCTGAAATAATATCTTCTGCTTTGTTGCCTATAGACCAATTAACAGGGAAAACTAATGAGGACGTCTTTAATTCGTTTTTACTTAGTTTCGACCTTGTAATCACGAGCAAACGAAAATTAAAAAAGAAAGAACCTGCAGCACTTTCCTAAAAAGGCAGTAGATTTGTTTAAATCTGGACTCGTCCAGCTTTATAGCCATGGTATATTCATAACACTGATGATGACCGTGGAGACGATGAAGAAAATGTCTTATCACATTCTAAAGAGGATGAAATTTGATTACAATTATCATAGCTTTTCTAAATGAAATTATTATAATAATACATTTTTATTATCTGTATCTTTAACGTGTGGAGGGTGGATTACCCCCACGGCACTTAGGCCTCATTAGGTCCATGAGATTTTTATTATATTATATGTTAGTATTACAAAAGCAAATACATAGAGGGCTTAATAGAATATACATTTTTATTATATTATATTCTTAATAACTTTCTATTTTTTTTTTGTAGCAAACAAACACTTTATAAGCCCTCTATGTATTTTCATTTGTAATACTAACACCTCTACAAAGCAATATTTAACTTACAAATTCATAAAGAGAGTCTGTGATTTATTGCCAACTTTGATGGCTTGTTGCCCCAGTGTGCGCCGTTTATCATCAAAGTTTGGAACCAAGTTCAAGAATGGAATCTTCCATAATAATAAATTGTTGTTTTGGTTGTAAGACAGTTATTTTAATCCACGTAGTTTTACCAGTTGTAAGCATTTTCTTTGTTAGGAGACTCATATCCTGTACTTAATTTAAATAAATTTTTTTAAATAGTTTTTACCCAATGACTTCATTTCAATATTAGTTATATAGTTTACTTGTACATTCCAGTATTAATTTTTTATTTCTACGTTTGATGGTACCCACTTTGTTATTCTCTAAACTGTATTTTCTACTTTGTATCGCCAATTTTATTATTTTGTATCAAAGTTTGTAAACTATTTATTTTTATTATATTATTGTTACCCTTTCTTTTAGGCCTGATGATGACCCTTGGGTCGAAATCGGTAGCAGTCTTATAAAAGTAATATAATAATTTTATATGGTACAGATTACGAGAATTATTTTCATTTATAAAATATGGAAAAGCTAATTTTTCGTTTTTTTTTTGTCTAGAATTATTATTATAAAAGATACACAAATATCAAATGATATGAATAAAGTTCCCTATATTCTGCCATAACACGTTTTTTATTAAGAAGTTTCGTATTTCTAGGACCACCTTTAAGTAATTTTTTTAAAAAGTGTGCACCTGTGATCTTTAATAGCTTTTGTATAGCTTAATATGTATTATGATGTATTATACTTGACAGTTTACTGTGTTTCGTTTATGAAAATATCATCAGCTTTGTAGTTTCTTATGATATCGTTTTTTTACTTGAGTAAAACAACGAGAATCGTTCGAAAACTAATTTAGTAAGTAATACTTTTGAAGCAGAAGAGGCTAGTTGAGTGTAGTGAGCTCTCTAGTCACGTTGTGAATGGGTGATGGTTGGGACATTCCACCATGTGCCATGCCAAAATTTAATTTTTTTTATATATTATATTAAACAACACTAGACTTACAAAACAAAAGTGCTTTTTCGGATTTTGACGAAAGACGCTATGGATTAATTATCAATCAAAATATTAACCGACATTGTATATCTTGCGCTTGACGAAATCTCTGTATATGTAAATTAATTATCCTACAATTATACAATTATGTAGTTTTACTTCCACTTGATTAATGAAAATATTTTTTAACAGTCACCTGGATGTACCACGGCGACCCAGCAATATCACCTGCTCATCATCAGGCAGCTCATATTTAGAACGTAGAGATTCTGCGACTACTTTAGGACTTTCAACGATACCAGTGCATAAATGTAAATCTCCTCAGTGTCGGTTCTCGATTGCGCCAGAGTTCTACAATTATTGTTATCCAATAGACATTAGAGTAATACAACCCACTCCAGGAGGAACTCCTTATGGGAGTAACAGAGCTCTATATGACAAGATGATTGATATTCCGAATTTAAAGCCAAAGCTTGCTCCGCTGGCTTCTATTAGTAGTTGTAATAGTTCATTAGGTAAGTACACCTGAATTATTATTTCATTACTGCATTACTAGACTTCATTGATAATAAATTTAATATACAGAGTGGCCCAAAAGTCTGGAAACGGCTAAATATCTCGTAAATTGCTAGTCCTAATTGTACAAAATTTGGGGTACACTTATTTTGGGATACGGAGATTCCAGATTTGATATTTTCAATGTTGCAAGATTTGCCGTTTCTCTTATATTATTAGTCACTTTGGTTTTTCAAATTCATTACTTGTATATTCAGTCATTATTGGAATCTCCTATTCAATACGAGTTCAACCATATGTAACACTTATGATTTTATGTAGTCTGGAAGGTCTTAAATAAATAAAACAGAAGTCTGGCAACGCCTAATTGTCTCAATACATTTTTTAATACAAGCTATTTTCAACTACATTAAAATGTAACAATTGAAAGATTACAACATTTTTAATATAATGGTGGATATTTTATCTAGTGTTCAAAATGCACTCCATTTGTGAGTTGACAGTACCCTAATCGATGGTAGAATGCGTCTACCACATTTCCCCATGATTGTTTTATTTATTTAAGACCTTCCAGACTAAAAATCATAAGTGTTGCATATGGCTGAACTCGTATTGAATAGGAGATTCCAATAATGACTGAATATACAAGGTGATGAATTTGAAAAACCAAAGTGACTAATAATATAGGAGAAATACCAAATCTGGCAACATTGCAAATATCAAATCTGGAATCTTCGTATCTCAAAATAGGTGTACCCCAAATTTTGTACAAATAGGACTAGCAATTTACGAGATAATTGGCCGTCTCCAGACTTTTGGGCCACTCCGTATATTTAAGAAATATACTGTTGTGTATTTGACTAGGTTACACATTAACTGAGACAAGACTTTTACAATTAACTTTATTCACTTGAAAGCATAGCGGTATAGACATTACACATTACCAAAAGACAATCTGCGTCGCCAAAGAATACCTACCCAAGAAGTGAGACTGAATGAGTTTTCGTACAGTCTGTTCGCTATACTTACGCGGGTTTCGGATTAACAAAATTATACAAATTAGTCATTGACAACCAGTTCCCTAATGTTATTTTTATTTAAATCTGACCATTAGGGCAATTTTACCTAATTTCTTGGGAAGACGCTTATTGGAACTGGTTGTCAATGACTAATTTGCATAATTTTGTTAATCCAAAACCCGCGTAAGTATAGCGAACAGCAGTACTATTCTTGACATCCTTCGCAAATACACGTATACTCAATCTTGCGAATGGTTCATTTACGCATATTTTTCTAAAATGAGATTCGGGAGACCCTTTCGCAATTACTTGCGTATGTTCCACATTCTCACTTTGGCAACGTTACAATTATATTAAAATGACAAGCAATACTAATATTTTGTATCATGGAATGACCGTTTTCATTATCTGGCTTCTTATAGCTCTTCAAAATTTCTTGGGAAATGTTAAATTTGTTAAAAATATTTGGTTTAGTGCATCGGTACACTGATACAAATACACTTTTACCAATGTCCATTTTACGGCTTCCTGGCGCAACAAAAACCTTAAAGCTAATAAAACCTACAAAATCAGAAACCTAAGTTTAACCAAATAAATGAAATAAATATGTTAATTTATGTTTAATCTGAGGTCTCGTATAGGACGCGAGTGTATTTATTAAAAATGGACACAATTCTTTTGAAATTCTAAATGTTTTCACAAATGTTCACCATGGTATAACCGCATCTTCAAGGTTTTCAGTGTGTCTACATATTCCAAGTCATCTATTAAAAAAAAAACACTTTCAATTAAAAATTAAACACATATGACACAAGTCAATTCATTAAAACGCACACGCAGTAGTTTGCGATTGATAATACCCAGACCTAATTAAAGAACATTAGGCTGACTTACGAGCTAGGAAGTGCCTTTCTTCTTATGAAGATACACAACGGGCTTAGTAAGGCCTAAGTGCCGTGAGGTAACCCACCCTCCAAACGATACATATCTAGAAGTACTGTAGTTAGCTGTAAATGCATTTCGATTGCATCCTGATAGCAGCGACTGGGTTCCTCGGAGTGAGTTTGTCACATATTTTAATTATTGTTTTATGATATCGTTTATTAACGGTTTTAATTCGAATGGTTTAAAACACAAAAGAAAACATGTCTTAAATAAAAGACTAAGAAATTAAACGATAATTTAGAAATTAAAAAACATTTACAGCCGGATGCAAGAACGTTCAATAAAATTTACGAACAATGTATTTTTTTTTCATGTAATAAAAATCTTAAAACTATCTACTTTCTAATTTCTACCTAGTTAACCACTGCTTAACTATACTATAAATTTCACAAAACGCTAATAATAATAATAATAATAATATACCAAATGTTGCTCTACATAAATTGACAGCTAGATTTGACGTTAAACCACCTCTAAAACACTGACAGCCGTATGCATAGTCGATCGCCAGCGACTCGCCAGAGATTTATTTCGGCGTATCGCCAGCGATCCGCTGGCGATCCGCCGGCGAAAGCTCAAAAAGCTGGCGACTCGCCGGAGATTGTCACTGGAATGTCATTTCACGCAAGTTTTTATTTTCTTTTATAGGGATTATCACCGGTATCTCTCGCATTTTATTCATGATTCATTTCTTAAAACAAAAAATAATGAACGAATATCAAATTTTCCCTATAAAAGAACATAAAAACTTGCGTGAAATGACATTCCGGTGACAATCTCCGGCGAGTCGCCAGCTTTTTGGGCTTTCGCCGGCGGATCGCCAGCGAATCGCTGGGATACGCCGAAATGAATCTCTGGCGAGTCGCTGGCGATCGACTATGCATACGGCTGTGAGAGTGGGCTCCCTTCATAGCGAGGGCTATGGCCAAGGATACTTAACTTTTCTATTAGGATGAGCCAATCTCATATACTATGTACATTTCACTGTGTTACGTCATAGTCAGACCTGATTTTAAAAATTCTTATGTTGTCTAATACGTTTGTATGTTGTTTTTAATATTTCGTGGATTGTTTTTGTACCAACAGCCGTGTGAAAACAAAATTAGACAACTCATTTACCATGCTTTTCCTTCGGGTAAAGATTTTGTTTCACACGAAATAAAGCAAGAGTAGGTTAGGAGGTGCCTTAGAGCGGATAAATGGAATCCCACAACAAGCCAGATTTGTTCAGTCCATTTTAAGGATAATGATTATGAGAGAGATTTACGTAATGAATTATTGGGTTTGCCAGTGAGGAGGCGGTTAAAGAAAACAGCAGTCCCTACTCTACTTCTTGGGAAGAATGAAAATGACGATAAAACTTTAAAAAATAAACAAAGGGAAAGTAGAATCTTAAAAAAAGAACAGAAAAATATTGTGGACGATTGTTTAAAAGAACATATTAAAATTTCCACCCTTGAGGTTAATGAAAGCAGCACAATAATTGAAAGTGAAAACAGTGCCATTGAAAGTGTAAACTGGGAGGAAAAATTTAATATTCATAAAGATGATTTTGAAAATATAAAAAAAGAAAAGGCCACATCTTTTAAAATTATTAAGATACTGGTTATTGGATACTGGTTTTAAATTAAAAGATGGCTCTATAGTAAGTAGAAAACCTATAGATAAATTGTTAACTGTAACAGACACTGAGGTCAATGTTTGCTATAAAATTTCAAAGAAACATGTAGAGTGCAGTGGTCCACTGAGGCAAAATGTTCGTTTAGCTGCTGAGTTGCTCTCAAAAACTACTGCTAAAGCCTTACTTTATTATAAACCAGGTTCTGATCCTTCTCTGGCTGTAAACGTAGCCAATTTTATTAGTAATATAAACCAGTTAGCTCACTCGGACCAGTTGAAAGTTCCAAAATAACATCCACTCCAGGGATACAAATTCAGGATACGCTGTTTTATTATAGGCGGTTGTCATATATTGTACTATCCGAGTTGCGCAGTGTATAAACTGGAATATTGAGATCAAAAGTGCCGACGCACAAAAATAAATCATTAAAAAGAAAAAGGAAAAAACTGATACTTCAAATAAATATTTCTTTCATGTATGTATTTGCGTTTATTTTCCTTTATAGCTATTTCCTTAACTATCCCATAATAATATCCTTAGATATTTGATGTCATTTTTAAAATATTGTCCTTTAATATTTATGAAATTTCTGTAAATAGCATTTAGTTTCCTCATACTTCTATAGTATTTTTACGCATGACGTCTGCTCGTGGCCGTCCTATTTTTGATACAGTTGATATCCTACCTTCTATTTTTTATACCATGACATACTTTGATTACTATACGGTACAAGAGAGAGGTCCGACACGACCAACATAGGGCGTGGCCATTTTAATTCCTCTGCCATAGTTTATAGCAAAAGAATCAGATCGCTCACTCTGCGTCGGCACTTTTGATCTCAATATTCCAGTTTATACACTGCGCAACTCGGATAGTACAATATATGACAACCGCCTATAATAAAACAGCGTATCCTGAATTTGTATCCCTGGAGTGGATGTTATTTTGGAACTTTCAATGGTCCGAGTGAGCTAACTGATTCTTTAGCAATAAACTGTGACTCCAAAAATACTATTCACTGACACTGACAGCAGCAAGCAAAATATCAGAAGCGGATGATTAAAACGCACCTATTAAAAATATTGCGCCAAGATATAGGCAACACGTAATAAGGGATCAAAATGGCGGAGTTTTATATCTCCTTTTAAAAGGCACTCAGAAAGCTGCGCAGTGCGACCATTCTCCGTATAGTAAAAGAAAATCAAAGTATGTGGCTATGGCTCTCTTACTATATATAACCAATACAATATACGACAACCGCAAACAGCAGTCTTTTGGGGTGCGTTCAGAAATGTAGGGTAAACGCGTCCAGACGTTGTCTAAACTCTAAAAAGCGTTCCTAAATGTGGAACGTTTTATCTGGACGAATTACCCCAGCCGTTTTTATTTAAAAGAAAGACGCGTCGGGATGAAGAAATTTTACCCACCTTGTTGAGTAGGGTAATTTTTACTCGACTTGCGTAGTATGTCATAACCCTAATTAACCTAAGAGAACCACCTAGTATTTAATTTCTTATTTTTACATTTTAAGTAAAAAATATTTAAATATGAGTATGAGTGAGAGAATTAATTCCATCAATGATCGTCTAGTTGTCGGAAACGATGGTAATTTCATTACAGAAAACGATAAAATTTTATGACACAGGATTAAAGGTAATGAATTGAATTTTTACATAAAAAAGTCTATGTGGACGTCAATGGTGTTACATATTTACTAATTTTTGATAATTCCTTACAATCTCAGATAACAGAAAAGACATAACCAAAAACTTGATTTAACAATACTTTGCACTTACGAACGCACCCCTGCGCATCCTGAATTTGTATCCGTGGAGTGGATGTTATTTTGAAACATCCAATTGGTCCGAGTGAGCTAACTGCTTTTTTACTTATAAACTGCTGATAACCTTGAGGTTGTTAGCTTGGCATTGCAGCCCTTCATTGAATAGGTAAATAAATAAATAAAAATGAATTTCATCATGTGTTGTATATAAAAATAAAAAAAATTTACTATATTTTTAGTTTTTAGAACCTACATGTGATGTTATAACACAGGATATCTAAAATATGACTTGCCAGTGTGAAATTAATAGTATGATTAATACTAATGGCGAATTGAAATTAAAATAGGTACAGTGTTATCAGAAGTACATAGACCCTTTGTATGAAAAGAATCCTGTATGGCCACAAATTGACCTAGAAAAACTAGAAAATTAGCTAAAAGAGGACGAAAACTACAAAATGGTGGTTAGTAACAAAAATATATTTAAACTTTCACCAAACATAATGATCATGTTGTTTTTGTTAGTGGAATGCCATGTACAGTTTTTAATGTTTTACGTTTGACAAAAATATTTAAAATATCCATTAGTTATGTACACTCAATTTGTATATGTACCATGTACCAAGTTTATTGATTTTTTTTATTTTTTAGGTTCAATGAAGATCCAATGTAAGAAAGCAAATAAAACTTAAGCCATAGATACAATAAAATGTTGGTTGGTTAAGGCCGAAGAAAAATTGGTATTAAAAATAAGAATAAGTGTGAATTTTTGGAAATAAAGATTTAAAAAATGTTTACGATTTTCATTAAATACACTTATTCTTTGATGTTCAATATTAATGAAACATCCTGCGTTAGGGTGTCTAGTATATGCCTAGTATGTGTTAAATTTAAATGCTTAGTATATATATACTTAGAACGTACTATAAAATGAAAGTAGATACTTATTGCATATTGTACACATACTTGAAGTACATTCTCAGTATCTGCATAGCATGTATAAACAACGTCTCTTAACATATACTTAGTATATTCTGAGAATGTACTAAACGCAAATAAATTATATTCTTAGCATATGCATATTCTTAAAAGGTATATACTAAGAATATGCTAAGAATGTATAATTGTTGTCTGAGTAAACACTGGACGGGTAAATGGTCGAATGTTTTTCTCTAGAGGCAAACAGGTGTGTTGCAATTAAATATTTTTCGCTTTTAGGGGTATTTGAAGAATATTTTGCAAGTTTCAACTACAGAATAAACAAACAAAACAACAATTTTTGACTCTGTTATTTAACATTGCTTTATTAGAAACCATAAAAGACTGATTAAATAGTAAAAATGTTGTGAATTGAAGGGGCTAACAAAATGACAAACACAAACCCTTAATAAAGAAATTAAACTATTAGGTATTTAAAGTGTGTAGGCTGAAAATAAAATTCCAACATACACACTTTAAATACCTACTAGTTTCTTTTTTTAATTACCTAGTGTGTACACACTTTCTTGAAACCCATGATAGCTCTTACAGTTCACAAATTTACCAGACTCATCTTTTATATCCATTTTTTGCAGTATTTCCAAGTCAAAAATAGTAAAGAGCAAATTAAGTACAAAAAGTTACCGACAAGTTGGTTTTCATAAAATATTTATTTTCTTTTCAGGGACAGATGTTCCAGACTTTGAAGTACAATCATTTGCTAGCGATTCTGTATTTCAAGAAGATGACGAAGATACAGAACATGAAGTAGATGAATTTAGTACAGACAGCGATGTTAATAGTGATGATGGTGCTTGTTATGGAAGAAGAAGAATAAGACTGACTGTTCCCGTGGACATTGAACATATTCCTTCTTCGAAAACATCGTCAACATTGGTTGGAAGTCAAGAAAAAAATATTTCTCTGTCTTCTTCGGAAAATAGTTTAGTTAACTTAGAAGATAAACAATCTTGGGTCCAAGAAGCACTATTTTGAATAGCATAAATTATTTTTGGACAAGTTAATATCCCGTTTATCAACAATAAACAACATTGTTTATGTCCCTAACCTATACTCTACCTTTCCCATAATTCCTGTTGCGAAAATATGTATTTTTTTCATGTAGATCCAATTTAACTGTATGCTCTGTTACTATTTGTCTAAATAAAATAAAATTTAAATAAAAGCCAATTCAACTTGTATTACTAAATGTTACAAAATCATTTAATTAACAAATAATGAAGTTATTACAAAAGGACGAATAGATGTATGGTCCGACATTAGAAAGAAATTTTGGTCTAAGAATTTTAACTTTTCGTAATTGATCTGAAAAATACGGCTCCATGACATAACAGCGCATGACAAAACAGCGGATGACAAAATATCGCAAGAACAAAATAGCGCAAGGACAAAATAGCGTAGAACAAAATAACGTAGAACAAAATAGCACAGGACTAAACAGTGCAGGACAAAATAGCGCAGGACAAAATAGAGCAAGACAAAATAGCGCAGGACAAAATAACGCAGGAAAAAATAGCGCAAGGCAGAAAGGCACAGGACAAAATGGGACAGGATAAAATGGCGCAGGCACAAAATAGCACTTATCGAACAATACATGTTTTTTATTTTATAAAATTAATTGAAGTAATGCGTAACAAATACTATTCCGACGACGCCTACATAGAGAAAGTTTGAAGTGTAGATCCGTCTCTCTCAAATTTTAGGATCCGACCAATTTTTGCTGCGACAATTTTGCGCTGAGACAAATACATGTGACAAATCAGCGTCTGATATAAATATAGTAAGACCAATAAACGCCTAGTCTAATTATAGTGAGTCAAATATGCGATTTTTCAAAAAAAGATTAAAGCAAATTAACGCGTGATAAAATATGCCAGTTTTAGAATTAAAATTAAAAAAAACCTAAACTAATTTACCTAACCTGTGCAGCCTGGAGCCATGGCGGGTTGCTCCAGGCCGTACAAGTTAGATCAATTAGTTTTTTTTTTAATTTTAATTAGAATATTGGAATATTCTAAAACGCATTTTTACGTCCTGTGCGATTTTGTCCTGCGCTATTTTATCCTTGCGTTATTTTGTCCTGCGTTATTTTGTCGGCGCTATTTTGTCCTGCGCTGTTTTGTCCTGCGCTGTTTTCTCATGGAGCCGAAAAATACACCTTTCCCGTACTACAACCATTTCGCATTACTCATGTGCGAAAAGCGTTTCGGACTTTTGAATCAAATACTTTTATAAACGACTTATTTTTCTTTTATCCTCACTCTATTGCCCTGACGAACGGGCGGATAGAATGACTTCACCCGAGCATTTACTATCAACGTAGTAGAAGCCCATTGCAAATGGCCACTTCCCAAAAATGAAGTATCTAAAGACACCTCTCGGCAACGTTATTAACCTGCAGGACTTTGACCTGAGAGGCTGGCTATCCCTAAACACCATCACAACCATCAGGTTTTTGATGAGTTATTAACCTGCAGGACGAATTGCTGTCTCTGGAAACCTCTCAGTAGCAACCAGCAGATTTTGACAAGTTAAGAGGCAGGTTCTATATGCCCCTGGAGAATGCACAATGGGCCTTATAAGGCTTATGTGCTGTAGAGCAACCCAACCTCCCCACCTTACAGATACAAATACACACCCTAAGCGCAACTGTCACCCAGTTTCAACAGGTGAATTTTGGCCAATTCTCCATTATAAAAGCCAAATCAAAATATAAACACAAACATTATCAAACATAAGAACAAAAGACGTTTGCAGATGTGTAATTTACACATCCTCAACTAGCCATTGATAAAAGTGTATTAGTTGTGAAGTCCTCACCATCATCTACTAACTGTATAGTCCAGAAGACAGTGACGATTGATGATTTTCGGTATTTATTTTCCCAGTCGGCAAACACGAATAGAGAATTTTAGGGTCTTACCCCCCTAACTAACTAGTGGACTAGTCTTGTTAGGAAAATCGCCGAGACACATTGATTTTTGATTTTTACAATGTACATTTTTGTATAAATAGTTTACCCTTAATTTCATCCCTTACTGAAGGGGAGCAACCCTTTCGAAAAATTTAAATGGAATGGGGTGGTGAGTGATAGCTCATTTGAAAGGGGGTTTTATTCTCTATTCAACCATGCAAAACATTTTGAAATTTGCTTCATTACGTGTTAATTCATTAATGTTTAAAAATAACAAAACATCACAAATAGGAAGGCAACTAAACTAACAGTGACCTTATCTAATAGCAAAAAGTCTTACTTCACGTCAACCAAAACCGATATCATGCAGGGCCGAATTTTAATTCTAAGGATGAGTGCGCTACGTTAATTTCCGTTATTCTGAAACAATAATTAGTCGAGAATTAATGAAGCAAATTTCAAAATTTATTACACGGTTGTATAGAGAATAAAACCCCCTTTGAAATAAGGTATCACTCACCACTCCATGCCATTTAAATTTTTCGAAAGGGTTGCTCCCCTCCAGTAAGGGATGAAACTAAGGATAAGCTATTCATAAAAAAATGTACATTGTAAAAATCAAAAATCGACGTGTCTCGGTGATTTTCCTAACAAGACTCCAGTAACGAGTTAGATAGGGGGGGGGGGCGGTTAGACTTATGATGCTCACTGTATATTTAGAGGGGAGGGAGGTCCAATGGGTTGAAGCCGAAAACGCGTCAGAACATACGAAAACACGGCCCCTTTTTCCAGTGATAAAAATAGTTCTAGTAGTAAGAGGTATACTGATTAATCTGTGAGTATGGATAATATATTTGGAAAGTGCATAAAATACACTTTATGTACACAATTTTTCCTAAGATACATAAATAAAATCATATATCACAATGTTTCACTTCACCAGTTGGTTTATTTATAGAAATAAAACATAATAGTTGAAGATATTACAGAAGAAAATAGGGAGAAAAATTACATTTCCTTTTACACTTTTATAAAATAATTATTTTATTTCGAATTCACGAAACACTTATTACTGTTTAGTTTTACAAGCCCACTCTACATTAAATATAATTATTGTTAGTTTCGTTATATCAAATCATTTATACTAGAGGTGTGAGGAAAAGACAGTGAACTGTGGAACGCCAATATCGTTAAGTGCACGTGGTAGAAACGGTCCTCTAATGCTGCTAAAAATATAGCTAAATTTTTATGGAAACACTGTACTTTTGACATTTACGATACTCCGACACATAAGCCTTATTGATGTAATCTCATGATTTTACAGTACTAGTTTTTGCAATTTTAGTGTGATTTTAAGGTTATTACGGTTATTCCTTTTATTTGGTTCTAATGTTTTGTGCTTTTAGAGTATTTGACTTTTATAGTTATAGTTTTTAATTTGAATTTTAATTGTGTGGTCTATTTATATTTGATTGCTGCTTTTCGATTAGTGCTTTATTCTTTTTGTGTTAAAATAAGCTTCATAACCATTAAGTATATGCTTCTATAGTTGAACCTAATCGTCATCGGGTTCTTGCAACAATGGAAAAAAGTGTATGGTTTTTTGGTGTAAAAGTCAGACGCCTTTATGTTTCAGGTAAGGATGACTAGTTATTTTTTACTTAAAAGGATAGCAATACGTCCTGGTTCGGAGTGCGATTGATGGGTTTTAGCTATTTGAGCCAAATTGTCGGCTGTGTCCTCTTTTTGGGCACCCAGAACCAAAAACTCTATGGTTATATATCATGTTTTTTTTTTTTAATTAACTTTTAATAGGTAGTCAGCTTGGATGAGGGCTTTACGAAGAGATCCTAAGACTGAAACGCTGACTGCTATAAATGCCGTTTTTAGAGCACATTTCATAGAAAGTGACTTCATTCTAGCAAGAACTAAGAAACATTCTGTACCAGCTATTACTTTAAGACCTCGTCTCTTTAATAAGTTAATATTACTTACTTCATTTTAAAGCATATATTAAAATGGTTTTTAACTTGTGCCCTTATGATTAGAAAATGCAGGTATTTTAGTTATGTTATAATAGAAATATACGATACATTGTATTAACCTGCTGGCCACTGGTCATTCCACTTTTATTACCTTTTTTCATAAATTGACAAATTATTTAAAAACAAATACATACCTAGCTATTTTCTGTAAATGCATTAAAAATGTAAAAAACGTATTTCTTATCTATTAAATTGTTATTAACGATAAAGAATACTTTTAATTTATTAAAACAAAAATAAAGCCTGAATCAACAACTTAAATCACTTAAAATAAGTTGCTTCAGATGGGGTCGTTTTTATGGAAAATTTTAGTGTTAATACTTTACTAATAATACTACAGTTAATTTATATTACAGTTAATTGGATTTTTTTCTTGTTGAGTTTCAAATATATTAATTTATCATGATTTAAAAACGAATTTATAAAATGGGCAAAATAGGCCTGCAAAGGCACTTTGTGCGCAATCTCACCTGTATCGATGCGACTTAATGCGCGAATTCCATTTGGCTTACTTTTGTTAATAAATTGGCGTTTCATTTTAAATATACAGTTCACTGGAAAAATTTTATTTAAATATACACGGACCGGGAAAACAATTACGAATAAAATTTACTGGCTCCTGGCCTAGTACTCTATCGAAGGAATTTTATGAATGAAACAAATTACGACTCTAATACAATAACGGTCTAGTCTAGTTACGCTGTTGTAAGACGTAATTTTTTTTGGATAACTTAAAGACAACAGTATTGCAAGCAAACGTAATTACATTAATATAGTTATATATTTTATTTATATATATATATATATATATATATATATATATTGCTTTAAAAATTTTGTAAATAATCCTATCTGTCTTAGTTATATATCTATGGTAATTTACAGTTAAGGTATCAGTATCTGTAACATGCTGAGACAGGGTTACCCCCCACGGAACTTATGCCTCACTAGGCTCATTGTGCATCCTCCTAAGTTGATAGCCTACATATTTTATACAGGGTGTCCTTTAAAATGTGTCCCAAAATTCTCAGGCAGATTCCTTAACCAAAAAATGGAAAAAAAGTTCCTATAGACCTATGTCCTAAAGTGCCCCCTAAGCGAGCAACAGCCTCTCGAAATCATTTTTTTTATTTTGATTTTTTGAATTTTCTTAAAAATGGAAACAAATAAAAGAACCAAATTTTGGCTGTTAAATATGATCAATAAT